TCTTGTTTTATTCTTTTTCAAAAGAAACGAGCCTCTTTGGTTTTCATTGGATTTTTATATATATATATATATATATATTATATATATATATATATATATATATATATATACATTCCATACGCCCCACACACCACATAACATACACACACACACACACACCCCCAAAAACACACTAGAGGCCCGGTACACAAAAATTTGTGCACTTGGGGGGGGTCCTGCTGCCTAGGCGCACTCCCCAGGGGATAAGGCATAAGCTGGCAGTCAGACATCCCTCTGGCAGCGCGGGAGCCCTCGGGGGATGTTCACTTGCCAGCGGGGAGCGTGCTTAAGCTGCAGTCGGATATCTTTAGTGCTGCTGAGGAGGCAGGAGAGGCTCCTGCCACCACCGCTGTGCTGGCAGCCATCAGCCTGGCTTGTGGCTGAGCAGAGCTCCCCTGTAGGAGCGCACTGACCACCAGGGGGCAGCTCCTGCATTGAGTGTCTGCCCCCTGGTGGTCAGTGTGTGTCATAGTGACCAGTCATTCCCAGTAGTTCTGCTGTTAGGATCAATTTGCATATTACCCTTTTATTATGTAGGATAGAGGCCTGGTGCATGGGTGGGGGCCAGCTGGTTTGCCCTGAAGGGCATCCCAGATCAGGGTGGGGGTCCCGCTGGGGTGCCTGGCCAGCCTGGATGAGGGGCTGAGGGCTGTTTTCAGGCTGGGCACACCCCCTTCAGGGTGTGGGGTCCCGCTTGGGTCCCTGGCCAGCCTGGGTGAGGGGCTGATGGCCATTTTCAGGCTGGCCACACCCCCCAGCCACCCAAGCTCCCAGCCATTCCTTTTTTTCTTTTTTTTTTCTGGGATTTATTTATCTTCTATAATTGAAACTTTGTAGCCTTGAGTGGAGCCGAGGGCAGGCCAGGGCAGGTGGGAAGCTTGGCTTCCTCTATTGCCGGGGGCAACCCTAGCCTCCTGCTTGCTCCAGCTCCGTGGCCGTCGCCATCTTAGTTGGGTTAATTTGCATACTCGCTCCTGATTGGCTGGTGGGTGTGGTTTGTGGGGGTGGCTTGAACATAGTGGAGGGACGGTTAATTTGCATGTTTCTCTTTTATTATATAGGATATATGTGTATATATATATATATATATATAGTCTCTATTCATTTATTTCCACTTTCATCTTTATTATTTCCTTCCTTCTGCTCATTCTGGACTTTTCTTGTTGCTCTCTTTCTAGTTCTTCAAGTTGCAGAGTTAGATGGTTTATTACCAGTTTTTCTTCTTTTTTGAGGTAGGCCTGTAATGCTATAAACTTCCCTCTCAGGACTGCTTTCACTGTGTACCATAGATTTTGGATTGATGTGTTTTCACTGTTGTTCATTTCCAGGATGTTTTTAATTTCTTCTTTGATCTCTTTGGTAACTCACTCATTTAATAGTATGCTATTCAGCCTCCAAGTGTTTGAATTTTTTTGATTGTTTTTATTGTAGTTGATTTCTAATTTTATGCCATTGTGATCTGAGAAGATGCTTGATATGATTTATATCTTCTTAAATTTGGAGAGACTTTGCCTGTGTCCCAATATGTGGTCTATCTTTGAAAATAAAGCCATATTTGACAAACCCACGGCCAACATCATACTCAGTGGGCAAAAACTAATACCATTTCCCCTAAGAACAGGAACAAGGCAGAGATGCCCATGCTCACCACTCCTGTTTGACATAGTACTGGAAGTACTAGCCATTGCAGTCAGACAAGAAGAAGAAATAAAAGGCATCCAAATTGGAAAAGAAGTAAAACTGTCCTTATTTGCAGATGACATCATATTGTACATAGAAAACCTCAAAGACTCCATCAAAAAACTACTACACTTAATAAATGAATTTGGCAATGTAGCAGGATACAAAATTAACACCCAGAAGTCTGTGGCTTTTCTATACACCAATAGTAAGCTCACAGAAAGAGAAACTAAAAAAGCAATCCCATTTACCATTGCAACAACACAAATTAAAATACCTAGGAATAAACTTAACCAAGGACGTAAAAGACCTGTACTTAGAAAATTACAGGATATTGAAAAAAGAGATAGAGGAAGACATGATCAAATAGAAGAATATACCATGTTCATGGGTTGGTAGAATCAACATCATTAAAATGACCATCCTACCCAAAGCAATCTATAAATTCAATGTAATACCTGTTAAAATACCAATGGCATATTTCCAAGATCTAGAACAAACTCTCCAAAAATTCATCTGGAATAAAAAAAGACCCCCAATAGCTGAAGCAATCTTGAGAAAGAAGAACAATGTTGGAGGGATCACAATACCAGACATCAAGCTATACTACAAAGCCACTGTTCTCAAAACTGCCTGGTACTGGCACAAGTACAGACATATAGACCAGTGGAACAGAACAGAGAACCCAGAAACTGACACAAAGGAGGCAAGAGCATACAATGGAGTCAAGACAATCTCTTCAATAAATGGTGTTGGGAACATTGGACAGGTACTTACAAAAAAATGAAACTAGACCACCAACTTACACCATACAGAAAAATAAACTCAAAATGGATTAAGGACTTACCAGTAAACATAAGATGGGAAACAATAAAAATCTTAGAAGAAGCCATAGGCACCAAAATAGCAGACATTTGTTGTAGCAATATCTTTACCAATACAGCTCTA